CGCCTCCCTGGCCCGCCGCACCTGCCTGGCCCACGCGTCTGCCTGGCCTCTCCCCTGCCGCCGGCCCTCTTCGTGCCTGTTCGGCGTGCCGTGCCACCTCGAGCTCCGTCTACTCTGCTCGCGCCAGCGCCGGGGCGCCTCGCGGCCGCCGTGCTGGAGAGTGCTGCGGCCGTATCCCTGCGTCGCTGTGTCCCTGCGGAGCTGTGGAGCTGTGTCGCTGACCCTGCACGATGGCTGACTTCGTGCTCCGACTGGACGCCGAGGGCCATGCAGTTGACTTCGCCGCCTGGCTCTCCGATCTCCGCCGCCACCTTACAGGTCAGCGCCAGGATGGCCACTCTTTGGTTGTTCATGTCGATGGCTTGCTCCCCCGCCCCCCCGCACCTGCTCCGCTCCTGCTGACCCCTCCTCTGATGACCGTGAGGCCTTCTCTACTGCTGCGCTTGCCTGTGCGGTCTGGGACTCCCGCGATGCAGTCGCTCATGTTGCTATTAGCCACGCCCACCCTGTGTCTAAGCGCTCGCGTTTTGCTACTGTTGAGACGGCCAAAGCCTACTTAGACGCTGTTATTGCTCGCTATTCCACACCCGCGTCTGCTTCTGTTGGCCGCCTGCTCTTCCCGATGCTGTTCCCAGACCTTGCAGCCTTCCCTACCGTCGCAGACTTTGCCACTCACCTGCGTGCCCTAGAGACCCGCTATCGCACTGCCAGCACTGCTGCCCAGCTCACTGCGCTCCCCCCCCTTTTTGCATGACGCTCTATTTTATCGCCATGCGCCTGCCAGACCGCCTCGCTAGTGCTCGCGATCACTTCCTTAGCCAGCACAACAGTGACCTCACCCTCACCACCTTTGTCGACACCCTCACCGAGATTGAGACTCGCCAGCGCACTATCGCTCAGTCGAGCGGTGCGCCGGCAATCTCTATCTTTCACGGCTGTGCCCCCTCCCAGTGCACGTTCACTGACGTTTCGGCTGCGGTCGCCATGGCGACCCCTCTCACCGAGACGGCTGCTGCGGTCCACCCGCAGCAGCGCTCGCGCCGCGGTGGCCGTGGCCGCCAGGGAGGTAGAGGTGGTGGCGCAGGTGGTGGTGGTCGTGGTGGTGGTGACGGTAGTCCGCCTGAGGGGACTACCACCGGTGGGCAGGAGCAGCAGCCCCAGCCGCAGCAGGAGCAGCCCCAGCAGCAGCCGCCGTCCCAGCAGCAGCCGCCGCAGCCGTGGGCCCGTCTCCCGCCTGGTTGGCCCGGTACCTCTGGAGGTAGTGGCCGTGGTGGCGGCCCGCGCAGCTCGGTGTCTACCGGCGGCTCTGGTGCTGTCACTTGCCAGTACCAGCTTCAGACCGGGCCTCTTCGCGGCACTCTGTGCCGCCACCCGCACCTGACCGCCCGCTGTTTCCGCCGCCTCGACGATCTCTTTCGTCGTCGCTTTGGCCCGGCCCCGGACCTCCCCGACTGGCACAGCCTGCTCCGCCAAGGCGTGCCGATCTTTGAGTTAGACATGGATCAGATAGGTGCTGCTTTGCATGCCTTGTATTCTGACGCTTCTAGTGTTGCTGGATCTTATTACCTTGTGTACTCTAGTTTAGGCGTTCCACCGTTGTGTAGCTTAGCCTCCCCTGCTGCGTCAGGCGTAGGACTGCCTAGTTTGCCTAGCCTAGTCTCTGCACCGGCTCCGTTCCCGGCCTCCGCCACCGCTTCGCTGTCCTTCACTCTCGACTCCGGTGCTTCTGCCTGCTTCTTCCTCGAACGTTCTGCGCTCACGCCGCTTGCTACGCCTGCTGTTGTCACTCTCGCTGACCCCTCTGCAGGACCTATCGTCGTTCGCAGCTCCACGTCCCTTCCCTGTCCAGCAGTTCCCTCGGGCTCCCTTACAAGCCTCCACGTTCCCTCGTTCTCGAGGAACCTGGTTGGTGTCGGCTGTCTCCAGGACCTCGGCGTCACCACCACGTTTCCTGGGCACGAGCGGTTCGCTGTCTGTTCTGAGGCTGTGTCAGGTTCCCCCCTTGCGACGTTCCCCCGGGACTCGGTGTCCAGTCTGTTTACCCTCGACAACGCTTCCCCCCCGGTTGGTGCGTCCTCCCAGGTCGCAACAGCTTGCTCGTGTCGGTCCCTCACTCACCCTTCCTGTGAGAGTACGACCCCGTTACACCACTTTTCCCTTTTCTTATTTCCTTCCTCGTTCATTTCTCTTTATCTCATCTCATTTGGTTTCCTATTCTCCATTTTCCCTTAACCTTTGGTTTATCTTACTATTATCATTATATCACCGACCAGGCTTGGGATGTACTGGTGCGCTATCTGGCGTAATCCTGTCGTAATCCCTTAAAGCCAATAGCCTCGCGTGGCTATACACAGGGTGATTCTATTTCTAGAAGGGTCTATTTCCTTAGGATAAGATAAACCTGGTTACCTGATGTACTTTGGAAGTATAAAAGCACCTTGTACTGATCATTAGTACAACCTTTCCTCGACACATTCGATCCTGTGACACTTGGTAATCAGAGCTTTTCCCACTCGACCGCGCTCAGCTAAGCAGCAGCAGCAGGGATCCTGCCTCGAAAAACCGCCGGGGGCGACCAATTCGACGCCGATTCTGGTAAGCACCAGCTCCGCGATTTTCGAATTACCCCCTCCGTGCGTGTTTTGAACAGGATGGCAACCTTTGACAACGCCGAGGTTACCCAGCAGCTCTTCGCGCGCATCGCAGCCCTTCAGGAGGAAATGCGAGCGGATCGCGAAGCGTGGCGAAACCAGTTCGAGCGAGTAACTCGACTCGCCGGAGCGCAGCACGAGACGACAACGGCGACGACGCAGCAGTCGCAGCAGTTTCTCGAGGCTCCAAAACCGCGCCCACATGAGCCGTTCGATCCGAGCGATCGAAACTCCGACGCCAGCAGATGGATCACCGGGATGGAGATCTACTTCGCAGCCGTCGGATGGAGCTCGCCAGTCTGGGACGGACAACGTGTACGACTCGCGGCGACACTGATGCGAGGGCCGGCACTCGAGTGGATTGGCGGCAACAGTTTCATCCACGGTGAAGCCACGTGGCAGCAGTTCCGCACCGACCTGCTGAAACGATTCGAGCCGATAAATTCGAGTTTCCTTGCCCGGGAAAAAATTCATCCACACCGACAGTTCGGGAGTGTAGCGCAGTACACGCAGCAGATGGAGGAATTTTATAACCGCATTCCCGATCTGACCGAAGGGGAAAAAGTACAATCGTACCTCGCCGGGCTGAAGATCGAAGTCAAACGACAAGTCGCAGCGTCAAACTACGCGAGCTACAGTGACGTCGTTTCGGTAGCGGAGCGCTTCGACATGGTCAACGCCAGAACACGACGGACACACGTCGGCGACCGCTCGGCTCACCCCACGTTCGCCGACCCGATGGAAGTCGACAGATTCGAGGGGCGGCCACGTCCGAAAAACACCAACTACACGTGTGACTTTTGCGGGGTGCCGGGCCATCGAATCTTCGACTGCAGCAAAATGAAAGCCGCACGCACAGAGTATCGGGCACGCAACAGTGGCGGAATTCCTTCAGCCAATCAGAAGTCAAAAAACGGGAGTCGCCAGTGATTGCGGATCTAGCTGGCGAAAATAAAAAGATCCGAAAACGGCCACGGGATTCCGGAAAAATCAACTTCGACGAAGCTGATTCGACGTGAGAAGGAGGAAATGATGGGGGAAAATCTCCACCCCACAACCAGTCCTCGCCAGGGAAAATCGCCGAGGAAAATTACAACTCCGCGAAAAAAGGCTTTGCCGAAACAGGGAAACTCCTTGAAGACCCAAGAAATTATCAGAATTCGTTAAAGTTATCTTATAAAGATGCTTTAATGAAAACTTATGAATTTTTAGGGGCTAGAGCCTTGGAGAAATTTCGGGAGGGACTCCAAAAGAAGCTGACAGCTGTGGAGATTATACCGGTGCCGGAAAACCTGGGGACCAAATTTAGGAGTGTGGAAAGAAGCCGACCTTTCCACGGAGTCAACGTCCTCTCCCGACACCAGCCCACAACGACTACTCGTTCCCCAGGGAAGACGTCGATGGAGCTGAAGCAGCTCAAGAGGAAGCTGGGGGTCTACAAGAAGCTGCACAAACCCCGAACTCCTCCTACGGATGCATCCAGTTCTTCGGCATCAGTGACGCGCACAGTGGTCAAAGAAACTCCGGGCCCTGGAGAAGAGCCGTTCTCCAAGCAGCCTCGGCAAGCTGCCAGCTCAGGAGTAGATAGCAACACAAAGGTGTGTACGGAGTATTGGGATGTACCCTATGACCCAATCAATGAAACTATCTTTGGGTACTCCGAGCAACGACTGCCCCTCGTACTCGAGGTCATCTGCAAAGGACGACGCCTCCAAGCACTCGTGGACAGCGGAGCATCACACACCGTCTGCAACAAGACAATAATCGACTGACTTCGGGGAGAGTACAAGCCTTCAGGATTCTCTGCAACGATGGTGGACGGCAGCAAGTTACCAGTATACGGCGAAACATTGCTACACCTACAAATCGGACCACTGCGCTGGAGACCTGCACTCCCCATCACCAACATCAAAGGGCTTGACCTGATCTTCGGGCGAGACTTCCTGAAAAGATTCAACCCCGAGATCAACTGGGTGAACCGCACCGCAAGCATCTACAACAATGGACGGAGAGTACAGCTACCCAACTAGGACGATACTGGAGATATCCCAATGGAGACACTCGCACGATTCGAGAAGGACGTGAAGCGGACCGACACCGGGTTCTTGGCGATAGCAACAGAGGTGGAGAATGACGGAGAGAAAGCCTCGGAACCTCAAGAAAAAATCAAGGAATTACTGAAGGAGTTCCAAGACATTCTTCCTTACGATCTTCCGAACGAGCTACCGCCATACCGAACGCATCAACACGAGATCGTGTAGGAACCGGGTTCGAAGCCGACCTTCCGAGCACCATACCGGCTCAGCCCTACGGAGCTGACTGACATGAAAAAACAGATCGAGTATCTCCTAGCCAAAGGACTCATCCGGCCATCCACTTCGCCATACGGTGCCCCAATACTCTTCACACCGAAACCGGACGGAAGCCTGCGCATGTGCATCGACTACCGAGCTCTTAACAAGCAGACCATAAAAAATAAATATCCGATACCGCGAATCGATGACCTGCTTGACCAGCTTCGGGGAGCTACGGTATTTTCCAAACTGGATCTGCGGTCCGGATACTGGCAGATACGCATGGCGGACAACTCTATCCACAAAACTGCTTTCCGAACTCGGTACGGATCGTACGAGTATTTGGTAATGCCGTTCGGACTCATCAACGCACCGGCAACGTTCCAAGCCGAAATGAACCACATTCTACGACCACTTCTGGACGAATGCGTGGTGGTGTACCTGGACGACATACTCATCTACTCGCGCGACATGAAGCAGCACGTCGAACACCTGCGACGTGTCTTCGAAATTCTTCGACGGGAACGATTCTACGTCAAACTGTCCAAGAGCGAATTCGCCCTTGAAAAGGTCCAGTTCCTAGGACACATGGTGAGCGCTCGAGGAGTTCACGTCGACCCCAAGAAAATCGAGGCCGTACGCACGTGGAAGACGCCCGAGAACGTGAAGGAGTTGCAGCAGTTCCTAGGCTTCGCTAATTACTACAACAGGTTCGAGCCACAGTATGCGAAAATCGCAGCACCACTCACGAATCTGCTGAAGAAGAACACGCCCTACAAATGGGAACCAAAGCACCAGGAAGCCGTGGAGCAGCTGAAATAAGCACTCACGTCCGCACCGGTACTCATCTTGCCAGATCCCGAACGCGACTACGTAATCGAAGCTGACGCCAGCGACCAGGCAGGGCAGTCTTAATGTAAGACCAGGGGAATGGACTGCAACCGATCGCCTACCTCAGCAAGAAACTACACGGAGCAGAACTAAACTACCCGATACACGACAAAGAGGCCCTTGCCATCGTCATCGCCTTCAAAGCATGGAGATGTTATCTCGAAGGACGAAGAACAACCGTCTACACCGACCACTGCAGCCTGAAATACTTGAAGACACAACCCAATCTTTCTAGGCGGCAGGTCCGGTGGATCGACTTCCTCGAGACACACTTCCACTACGACATCGTGTACAAGCCCGGCCACAAAAATAAAGCAGACGCTCTCAGCCGACCTGCACACGTTGCCGCTATTCAGATTGAAGGGATGAATCCACTACTCAAGGGACTCTTCACACACGGGTACGCCATCGACCCCGAAATTCCCTTGGCAGAAAAGCGACATCTGCTACAGTGGGACAGTGACATCGCGTACCGGAAAGGATCAATAAAAATCAGGGTACCAAATTACCCTCCTTTGCGCCAGTTACTACTCGAAGAATACCACGACGTCCTGTACGCCGGACACTTCGGTAGCAACAAGACGCTCACTGGTATCGCCAAACACTACTACTGGCCCCATATGGCAGACGACGTCCAGAAATTCGTCACCTCGTGTGATACATGTCAGCGGATGAAGAGCAGCAAGCAGAAAAAGGCGGGACTACTGCAGCCTCTTCCTGTCCCAGAACAACCATGGCAAGTGGTTAGCCTAGATTTCATCACCGGGTTACCACCTACCTCCAGCGGTCATGACGCCATCCTTGTCGTCATTGACAAGTTCTCCAAAATGGGACACTTCATCCCGACACACACGACGGCACGCACCGAAGAGACAGCACAGCTCTTCGTTCGTCACATCATCTCACAGCATGGCATCCCAACCACACTCATTTCCGACCGAGACCCCAAGTTCACCAGCAAGTTCTGGAAGGAACTTATGTCTCTCCTCGGGACCAAACTCGCCATGTCATCCGCATACCATCCGCAGACAGACGGACAGACCTAGCGCCTCAACCAAATTGTTGAACAACTCCTCCGCGCAGCCTGCAAGGACGACATCTCCAAATGGGACTTGCATCTGCCCGTCCTGGAGTTTGCCTACAACAATGCCACACATGCCGCTACTGGACAGACGCCGTTCTTCCTCTGCTACGGACGTCACCCACTCACACCACAAAAACCGACCACATCCGCTACGGTACAACCTGCACATGATTTCATCACAACCATGCATCAGCTTTGGGATCGGACCCACAAGCGCCTCCTCGACATTCAGCAGCAACAAAAACGCCAGGCCGATCACCATCGCAACGACCACACCATCACGGTGGGAGACCAGGTGCTTCTTGACACCCGCGACCTGGACATCAGCCACCTTCCATCTAAACTTCGACCTCGCTTCTGCTGGCCTTTTCTCGTTGAAGCACGACGTCGGAATGGTACCGTGGAGCTTCTCATCCGTTGGAAGGGTTATGATCCTTCTGAGGACAGCTGGGTCCCTGAGTCCGACATGGGTAACGTCCGTCGTCCTCTGCATGACTACCTTGTCAAGCAGGGTGTTACTTCTACCACCCAGCTTTGAGGGGGGGAAGTGTGAGAGTACGACCCCGTTACACCACTTGTCCCTTTTCTTATTTCCTTCCTCGTTCATTTCTCTTTATCTCATCTCATTTGGTTTCCTATTCTCCATTTTCCCTTAACCTTTGGTTTATCCTGCTATTATAATTATATCACCGACCAGGCTTGGGATGTACTGGTGCACTATCTGGCGTAATCCTGCCGTAATCCCTTAAAGCCAATAGCCTCGCGTGGCTATACGCAGGGTGATTCTATTTCTAGAAGGGTCTATTTCCTTAGGATAAGATAAACCTGGTTACCTGATGTACTTTGGAAGTATAAAAGCACCTTGTACTGATCATTAGTGCAACCTTTCCTCGACACATTCGATCCTGTGACAAAGGCGGTAGCAGCAGCGGTAACAATAGAAGCAATAGCGGTAGGAGCAGCACACGCAGCAGCAGCAGAAGAGGCAGAAGAAATCACTAAGGAAGTAGTGTCGTTTAGGGTCAATATGAAGAGGAAGAAGTCCAAGAAGCAATGTGTAGATGATCAACTCCTCGTAGTTGTTTGGACATCCCTTTTGGTAGATTGTAGTGTCTCTGAGTAGGTTTAACACAGTGACTGCTATTGTGGCCTTCTTAATAGATTGTTAGCTTTGCAAGTATGTTTCTTCTGATAACCGAGGAATTCAAACAATATTCTTTTTATGAGTCGGACATAGCTCAAATGGCCTTCTGATGATCGTCAGAAACTAGAAAAGGCATAGGGAGGACCTGGTTTGCACATGCCATAAATGCCTTGATATTGGACTAGCTGGGTCCTACAATAAAAACCATGTGTTTTGTAATGACTGAGGTTGATTCTCATAGACATGTGAATCGTAATCCCCCGTATACAACGCCCTATGGCGTTGTTAAAAAGGCAAGTTAAACCCATGTGTTATGTACTGTACATCGCAATGAATTTGGGTTGCTACATGCACTGTGTGTCGAATTCAATGCGAGGTGTTGATTTGTGAGGGATTTGACTACGTTTTCACTTATGTCTCATGCACCCGATCAGCACTAACTGCTCCTCGCAGCTCAAGGACCTGGTAGATACCTCAAGGGGTTGGGGGGGGGGGGGGGATTTAGGAGGAAAGGTTGGAGGGGGTCTGAGAAAGGGGGGGGAGGACTTGGTGGTTGTAGCTCGATTGGAGGGTTTGGAAGCAGCAAAGGTTTAGTGGGCAGAAGTTGGTAGCTTCAGGTTGCTGAGTAACAAAGGAGCTCATAAGAGAGGGAAGCGGCCCCACTAGCATTGATCGGTGGAAGATGGTCATGTAGGCACTCTCTGGAGTCTTATGTTGGAGGTGAGTGTGTACCGATCACAAAAATAATACGAAAGAAGAAAGGTTTTGTATGCCCGAGACTGCATCTTCTACAAGAAAAATTTTCTCAATGACTTCGAGCGCGACAAAGAATGCCAACAGAGGGATCCTGATCGCTACAGTCGAACGGAGTTTTGCCACCCCTCAAGATGAAGCAGATGCGGCCGAAGAATATTATCCGCCCGATAGTGCAGCAACAAGACCCTCTACAGTTCTGCAGCCATCCAAGTCAGCAGCCAAACCATTGTTCGACTCCTATATTCCATTGACGCGTGACAACAATACAACTACTCTGCCCTTCATTCCCCTCTCAGATCATTTGCTTCTTGCCACAACTTAGGGTGCCCATAATTATGAGGAGCACCTGCGCCGACATAAAACTGAGGCAGCATCACATGACGGTGCCAGCCATCTGCCATCTAAAATTGACTACGATGGCATCGTCAAAGTTTGTCAACCACATCCTCGTGATGACTAATCGGCTCTTTAGATCCTCGGCCTTGCCGTAGCATTTCAGCAACCAATAGCTCGGATTGAGCCGAAAATAGTCAAGCAAACCCCCTCTGGATCTGATTCTGACAAGAGGCGAACAGCTATGAATGCCAAGGTAGCAGCTCTCGAGAGGCAGAAAACGTGGAAAGTCGTTACGCACAAAGGAGCACGCACCAAGAAAATTCTTTCAGGCAAGTGGGTCTTTCGCATAAGGACAAATGTAGTAGGCAAACCAAACAGATTCAAGGGGAGATGGGTTGTTCGAGGTTTCGAACAAACCCACGGCATCGGCTACGACCAGTCTTTTTCTCTGGTCAGCCGCCATGCCTCAGTTCGAATTCTTCTCACCATTGCTGCCAGCCGCCACCAACCACTTCGCCAACTGGACGCTTAAAATGTGTTTTTTTTTTTTTTAACGCAACCTTAATGCATATATTTTTGTCGAGTTTCCCCACACTTGCGACAATGGACTCCACATCTGCAAATTACTGAAGTCCCTCTATGACATCAAACAAGATCCTCACCTGTGGCAGCAGTATCTTCACAAAGTTCTAATTTCACTCGGCTTCGTGCAACTGCCCCACGACCCTGGAATGTACAGACTCGAATTTCAGGGGCATTACATTCTTCTAGTCGCCTACATGGATGTCATCTCGTGCAACCATATCTGGCGCGCATGGAAACAAGAATCCAAGAGATTCTCGACATTACTATTTGTATTTTCCCCACCGTTATCCAATTCATTGGGTTAAACGTCGACTGCGGCCCCGATTGTCAACAAATATATTTATACATATATGTGTAGGCTAGGTAGGTGTTCTATTGGTTCTTACTGTCGAGGGGACAGCTCCCTTCTTGTACCTCTCTCGCTTGTCTAGTCACTCTCTTTTCTCTCGCTACTTTCTCCTACCTAGCTAAACCCTTTTCTAGCATGGTTTTTGAGTAGGTCCATCCTGCCAGGCCTGCTCCCCATGCTTCCGCAACTCACTCTCCCCTCTCCTCCCACCGCCCCGCCCCCATGGAGCGTCGTGCCGTGCCGGCCCCAACTTGCCGCATCGGCCCCAGCTCGCCGTGCGGCCCCCAGCTCGCAGCCGGCCCCAGCTGGCCGCATTGACCCCAGCTCGCCGCACTGCCCCAGATCGTCGCGTCGGCCCCACCTCGCCATGTCGGCCCCAGCTCGTCGCACCGCCCCAGCTCGCCACGCTGGCCCCAGCTTGCCGCATCGGCACCAGCTCGTCGCGTCGGCCCCAACTCTCCACATCGGCTTCAGCTCGCAGCAGCCGCCCCAGTTCGCTAACTGGCTCCGCCGTCAAAGACCCGGCCCCTCCCCTGCGTCCCCCCCCTCTTCCCCACCGCAACTGATTGCTGTCTCGCGCCATCCTTCCCCGACATTGCAGAGCCGTGCCACGCCGCCGGGTGTCGCAGGCTCCGCCGTCGTCGTCGCCATTGTCGTCGCTGCCGACGTCGCCGCAGGAGCCGCTAGCTCCATCGCTACCCCTTGCTACTCCGTACACCTACACGCCACCAGTACCTGCGTCGACCGCCTCACTGCTCACACCGGCTGGGATCCAGGAGTATCAGCAGAAACTCGGATTTCTGCTATTCACCGCCGTTACCTGCCGTCCTGACCTCTCCTACGTCACTAGCCAACTCGTTACCTACCTTAAGTGACCTGAAGGGGGGAATCTGCAGGAACTGGATCGCGCGCTCAACTGGATCGCGCGCTCCACTACTTCGCCTCGACCCCGACGATCGGCCTGACCTACCATAAGAACGCTGCCACCAAGAACGAACTTATCGGCTACGTCGATGCAGATCACGCCGGCGATAAGGACAACCGCCGCTCACGCACCGCTTACATCTACCCTCTGGAACCTATCGGCACTATTTCCAAGCACTCGGGAAAGGAGGAACTAATTGCTCTCTCATCTGCTGAAGCTGAATATATCGCTCTTTGCATAGCTGCGAAGGAAGGACTGTACCTACGTGAGCAGCTCGAAGAAGCAAAGATTGCCGAGCTACCAAGCTTCTCTCTCTTCTGCGACAACCAATCAGCAATCAAAATTGCCAATAAAAACGGATTCGCGAACAGGACGAAGCACATGTCACTTCATTACTTCTTTGTGAAGGACGAGATCGAGCAGGGCCGCCTCCAATCGGTCTACTGCCCCACCATTGAAATGGCAGCCGACTACGACCAAGAGGCTGATGAAGGCCAAGTTCTAGTACTGCATGTTGCTGAATAGACTGCAACACGTCGAGAACCTCGATCACATCGACACTCCAGAAATGAAGGAGGGTGTTGGAAATGATAAAAGGACTTAAAGATATTTCTGGACTCTCGTGTGAGTGTACGAATATGCGAAGACCACAACAACGGGGATTACCGAGTCAACATTGCTATAGTACTACGGACAGTTGACGTGGGTTTACGATACCCAACAGTCAGAATTGGAAGAGTCATGGGTCAGTGCGACAGTAAGGACAAATAAGCATCCCGATATTACAATACGGATGGTTACCCGAGTCGCCTTATCGAGTCGTAAAAGGGAATGTACCCCTCGAAGTGCAAGACAATTTGACTCTTCTTATTCTTTTGTATTACTATATATACCT